AATCATATAGGATATCCTTGCTTCCCACTGTAGAGAAAAATGTAAAAATATGTTAGATAGATAGATAGATAGATAGATAGATAGATAGATAGATAGATAGATAGATAATTTCTGCTGTAAACAACTGAAGATTATCACAGGTGTCCTTTTCCCTTTGCATCTCCAAGGGAAGGTGCGTATGTGTTTAAGCAAGAAATCAATCCCCATGCAAATCTCCTTGCATAATTTAATCTGAGCTCTTGCTGATTACTGAAGAATTCAGTAGAAATGTGCCTTGCTATTCTCCAGCTCTACTTGTCAAGTGGTGTCTTGCTTGATATGAAAGATGTAAAATAAAACAGCAAGAGGAAGCTTAGAAATTACTGTTCACTGCTGCAGCTGTTGTTCCAATCAAAAACTACCAGAACATAATCCCTTTCAATTAGTTATACCAAATTTGTAACAGTTTAGGTCCACAGTCATTCCCAGGGGAAAAACCAGGGCTCACTTGATGAATAATCCTTAAAGCTGTTATTTCTCAAAGAATTTTTAAAAACATAATTTGGCATGCCAGACCTCATTCCAGCATTATGAAATTGTTCCATATACAGGTCTTTAGAGAGACCTTACAGAAACTCACTGCATTTTTCTAGAATTGGTTTTCATCCTTGGTAATGAATATTAATCCTCCCCAAAATTTTATTCAAATTTATTCAGATTTAATCCGATAATTTATTTTTATTGTATTTGGAAAATAGTATTCCAATACTATTTTCATTGCATTGTATACTTTTGTAAATAATAATACAAATGCATTTAAATAAGACTATATATGTGATAGTAGCTGAACTCACACATTACACACATTGCATTAAATCATGATGTGTTTCAATCTTGGTTTGTTGAAGAAATCAGAGACCTGATTCACCAACCACATACACAGTTAATCATGTTTTACAAACCACCGTGGCTGGGTTTACAACTTGCCCTAAGCCAAAGTAAGCAAACCACATTAGTCTTAATACAATGTGTGAATGTGGGCATTCTCAGGCTTCAGTATGCACACAGAACAAAGAGCCACCCCATTCAAAGAGACTATTCTCCAATAAAGGGTTGAGTGTTGTGGAATTAATCTCTTACTAGTTTCCTGACTTCATTGCCCTATTCTCTTTGGGCTGGGTTCACACTAAGCCTTTGGAAGGAGAGTTTGTCTCCATCCATCTCTATCCAACCAGTGGGATCAGGCAGAGTGGGCGCACATCATATACCTGTTTAAGTAATGTCATCCAGCAGAACCAAGGAAGCATGTCTTCTCTGTCACGGTGCCTGCCCTCTGGAATGAGATCTCCAAGAGATCCAGATGGCTCCCAGCCGGAAGAGGTTCTGGAAGCTATTAAAGACCTGGTTATTGGTCTTTGGGGCAGGATGATGGTTGAGCCCCTATTGGATGGATTTTTTCGTTAGTTTGTTCGTTCCAATATTTGTCTTCAGGCCACTCATGGTTTCTTTCTTTTCTTCTTGTATTTTTCTTACTTTTTAAACTGTAAGCCGGAGTCTTACGATAGGAATTGGACAGCCTCTAAATTGCATGAATAAATAAAGCCATGATTTATTGAACAAAACATAGCTGGCTGGGCTTGCATAGCAGGCTAAGCCATAAACTATAGCTTACCAATTGTAATGCCTGGGTTCACATAACACTTTAAACCAAACAGAAATATAGTTAGAAAACAGCTTGCAATCCATGTCAGCTTGATGGGCAAAGCAGGCCTTCTTATTTTTCTTAGGTTTGGCAGCGAGGGAGTAAATGATGAAATTTTTATGTGAGATGGGTGGCTATATAAATATGATAAATAAATGTGTGCCGGTGTCATCACACAAGTGCTGTGACTTAAGTGCTTCAGTCAGTTGTCAAGACAGAGGTATATAATAGTTTGTATGACGATGTCACCACATGCGTATTGTTGTTTTGCTATCCTTATACTTTGCTGCAGAGGCACCATAGAAGCATCAAATTAGCCACTGTGGAAATCAGGTGATGTATTACACAGTCCAGGTTTCCCCAACTTAGTACTCTTAAGTTGCTTTAGGACTGTACAATTTCCAGGCTGCACAACCTTTTATGTTAGCTGGTGGACACTAACTTAGGGAAGGCTATAGTGTGATCCAGCACAGCTCTTCTTGAATAGATTTTGATCTTTCAAAATCTGAGCATGTTTTTCTTGCACACACAAAAGTGTCATAAGTGTCATGCTGGTAAGCTCTTGTACATTCTGTTATCCTCAGCTTCTCTGCAATATCTTACACAATTTAGAAATGTCCATAATTAGGGTTCAGAGTTACATCATAAACTTGCACAAAGGAAGGCTCAGGGGCTGGCCCCCCAACTCAGGAAAATGTGCCAATGAAGGAAAGGAGGCTGATTGGAGAATTTGAGGTTTCCAGCCTGATTCTGTTCTTTCACACAGGATGACAGAAGAATGAATGAAGAAATGCTTTGCTCTTTTTAGCTTGAATAAAATGAGACAAACATTTTTTATGAGCCCCTTGATTATATTTTCTGATGCCACCCATGTATGTTGATTCTTTCTCTAGGGTACTCCTGCAGGCTTGTTTCCCAGAGTATGACTCTCATCCTCGTGAATGAAGATTCTTTGGATGTAAGTGGAATTCTACCATTCTGTTTGATTTAAATGTTGCCATTATTCCTTTTGATCTAAGCTTACCAACTAGATACATAGTCAGAAATCAATCCAGAGAAATATGCACAAAAGGGAGCTGAAACACATAAGTCTTCAAACCACATCCCACTCTTATTGGAGCATACTCATTCCTCCAAATAGCTTCTGAAGATGAAAGGATTATACTAAATTGGGTTGGGGTGGGGATCTGAAATTGTCTTGAAATGATGCTTCTAGTCTCTTACTTGATTTGGGGAGAATCCTCTTTCACCCTCAGTCTACTCTGCCACAATCTACCCCATTTAGCAGGGACTGTGAATCATGAAGATGTTTGGGGTGGGGAGTAAACTTAGAGGTCTTAGAGATTCAGTAGTGAGAAAGTGACATTATTCCACTTATGTTCTTTCTGGATGATTTGACTGAACAAAACTTCTGCCTTTCTTTCCATTTAAAACTTTAGAACAGAGTAATAAACAAAAATTGTAATCAACCTATTTCAGTTGGGCAAGAAAAATAGAGAAATTTGCCATTCTATTGTTTAGTATACTGAAACTGATAGACTTTGGTCTGAGAATTTAATATCTACTCCTGTCATACCACATAAAAAAGGGGTACCAAAATTTGGAATTCATTCTATGAGCGGGCTAGGACCAATGCTCTGAAAAAGACTGTGGCTGATGTCATCTTAATACCAAGACCAATGACAAATTTGGTGGCAAAATCCATTTTTATTTACCCTGATTTTAGGTTATATCAAGGATGCAAGTATAGAATTTGGCTCATTTTTGGCAAATGAAACAGGGTACTTTAAGGCAATAAATCCTGCCAGATTGCTGGGAAAATTCCCAAGGACCCACTAGATTTCTTTTAGATCCATAAGGTGCCTGAGACAGACCATCATAACTAACCCTATACCCCACCCTGCAAAAGTCACAAGGTGTGATGCACCTCATCTGGATCAGGCAGTGATCCCGCTGTGGCAAAAGACCATTAAAACAATCTCTTCCATCTTCAGGTCACAAGCCAAGTGCTTGGAGGTGAAAATTAGGCCAGAGATTATCTGGGACAAGCCCATGGTTGTCTTGAGGTGTCCCTACACCATCTGCCAGGTGTTGAGGATAAAACCTCCAACCTCAGTAGTTGGGGAAATTCCTAGCAACAAGGTTGAGGAACTCAGGAAGGGAGCCTGAGAGGCAGCACATGACTAGGGCCCCCTTGTCCCTACAATTTCAAAAATAGGCATTTGCACTCCCAACACCTGCAGAGCAGGACCTAATAGCAAATAAGAATGCCAGTGCTGGAAGTTCGGCGGCATATACGTGTAATAATAACTTAAATTTAATAATAAAATAATTTGAACAATTTAATTTTAATTAAAAAATACTTTTCAAAGAGAGGAAGAAGTTACTGATTTATGGATAGTTGCCTCTTAACAGAAGAATGGATATGATTATATGGTATGCTGCAGATTAATGCAGAGATATCAGTGAAAGTGTTTCTTGAGCTAGAAAGCCACATATTACAGTATTTCCAACCATAAAAGCATCAAGGAGGATTCTTATATCATACTGTTATTGTTAAAAAGGGGAGGCTGAAGTTAGATCAGGATCTACTGGCTGATCTTCTGTTGATTTGTGGTGAAGCTTCTGACTCCAGGTGGTTTAAGAATAGCTATAACAAGGATTCTCCCCTTGCCCGCCCCCCCCAGGCTTTTGAAATCAAGAAAGCTGGGAAAAAATAGAATTCAGCATATGTACATATGAAATAGTTTGCAAGCTAGCTTTAATTCTGTTCCTGAAAACAAATTCATGAGCTGAGAAATTATAGGCCTGAACTATTTGCCAGTTCTATCAAGACACTCAAAACTTCCTCTAATGTTCTCAGGACAGGCTACACATTTTCAGTTTGGCTTCCTAGCAGCTCTGTGAGACAGACCTGGTTAAGAGATAATGTCTGGGCCAAAGTCACTCATTAAGCTTATATAATTTAAAACTAGTTCTTCCTAGGTTAATCTAAAATACTAAGCACTATGCCATTTTGATTCTCCCTGTCTTTGACAGTTTTTCCAAACATGGTCCCTATCAGATGTATTGGCCTTTAGCTCCTGTAATCGCTAGTCTTTGGTCTTGCTGGATCTAGATTATGGGGTGGAAGTCCAAGCCATTTGAAAAGTACCAGGTTGACAAAGGCTACATTCAGTACTTTTCCTTTTGGGCGATGGTACTTGGCTGGAAGCTTAAAAAGAACTATTTGACCTGAGCCTCTGGGAAAAAAAAGAGGTATCTTGACAATTTCAGCAGTTTTTAAACACACAACTTTACACGCAGCCACAAATGGAAATAAAGGATCACTCTGGGTTTGACAACTGAGGGGGGAAAAAAAAACAATCCTCAGTGAAAAGGCCATATTTGGGCACATAGAAAAATGATCCTCTAGAATTAAAAGAAAAGATCCCCCGCCCCCCAAATAAGTTTCCTATTTTGAGGAGGCATAGACCATATCTAGGGAATCTTCAAGAAGAGCTGCTCGTATTACAGGGAACAGGCAGTCAAGTACTTTTTTAGAAGGCTGCAGTAGTAGTTTAATTAAACATCTTAAGAAAGGTGAATTTAAACTGGAAAAAGTGCAGAGAAGGCAACGAGGATGATTGAGTTGACTGGGTATATTTAGCCTTGAGAAATATAGTAGCACTCTTTAAGAACCCAAAATGGGTATGACCCAGCAAGCAGCCATGATCCATTCTCATGTGTTCAGGTGTAGGATGTGAAATAATCATGATCTTAAATTATAGGAAGGCAAATTCTGGTTGGGAAGTGTAAGGCCAGTTCTATAGTGGAATTAATTAGGGAGGTGGTGAGTTCTCTTTTGTTGGATATCTTCAAGCAGAATCTGAACAGACAATTGTCATAAATGACTTAATTTGGATCCTGCACTAAGCAGGAATTTTCAGTGGCTGAAATAATTTCTTCCAACTGTTACGATTCTGCTTTTCTCTCCCCAGTTCACTGCTGTTGAGGAACCCAGCCTTGTCTGTGGCACAGTGAATCATAACCCCAAATCAAACTAAATCAAAATCTGTCTTCCTGCCGCAGAAGCCAGAGTCTAAGGACTTATACAGAGGACAACTATCTTAAACAGGAATTCTGATCTGCCCTTTCCTGATGCCTCATTCAGCCTAGCCAATAAAGCTATGCCTGAAACTCAAAGGAACCCAGAGGAAAGTAGTTGCAGTTGCAAATTAAAACCAGGTGCTAGGAATACATAAACCCATTGATTTCAATGGCTTAAGCATGCATAAGTCTGTTGAATTTAGTCCAGGGAAACTAGAAGGGCACACACTGTCAAGTACTTATATGTGCCTAAGCAGCTCATTTGGATGTGAGCCATAATGATTGATCTTAATAATTCACATATGTGATCCAAAGCAATAATGTGCATTTTAATCAGAATAATTTGATTTTGGGGAGGTTGCCAAATAGCAAAAGCCAGATTATATGACCCAGAATAAATTACTTCAGGTTTAAGATTGGTCTGTGGGGTTTTTTTCCCACTTAGTGGGAGAATAAAATTGAGTAAAAAAATCTTAAATTCTCAGCTAGTATGCAGTAACATCTTTTAGATTGCTTGTAAATAAATAATCAAGGAGTTGGTTTTGATAAGTTGTTTGGCTTGTTGTTGTTTTGTTTACTGAGTTGTTAGGAATGATAATGAATGAGTTTTAGGCTCCAGATAAAGAGATGCCTGCACCAAATCAGCCTTACACGTGCACATTAGAAAGCGGATCAGATCCATTCAGATTAATCTGATATGCCTCTGGGTGCGTATTTAAATTGCTGGCATTGTTTTATGAATTATAGCAAATGGCAATACTTGGCGACCTCAGAAAGCTAAGCCTGGTCAGGCCTGAAGTACTGGAGTGAGAAACCACCAGGACATTGCAAGGCTGTACTCCAAAACAAAACCAGAAGTAGGTAATGGCAAACAACTTCCATATGATTGTCAAGAAAACTACATGGGCAAGTCCACGTCCAGGAGTTGACCTTGACTTCAAGAAGGCTGTACTTTTTTATTGTCTTATTTGCACTGCATCAAAACTTTTTTTTTTTCCTAAAAAATCCTTGTGGGTACAGGAAATAGTCAAACTGCTAGGAATTTTTGAATACTCCCCATTCCCCCCCCCCCATATGTTGCATTTGACATGAAGAGTGTATTGTTTTTGCAGGAGTGCGTTTTATTACTTGTCCACAGCAATGGATCAGAACCGTGCTTTATTAATCCAGTCTATTGTTTCCCAGGAAATAAAAATCAGTTCTGAATCTCGCTTCTTGATCTTCCTTTGGCTGACACCAAGGCATACCCTTAGTATAGGGAGAGAAGGAAGAACAGAGAGTTTGGGTACCATCACAAAGAAACCACCTGTCTCCTGTCTCTAGTACCCATTTACTTGGCTTTTGATGGCAATATTCAGAAAAAGACTTAAAAGTTCCTTGAAATAAAACTGTACTTTGGATTCCTATTTTTGGGATGCTGACTTTACAAACTCGCTGGGATGAATATTTGAATGCTTTTTTAGGCAGTAAATATCATTTGATAATCTAATTAACATAATATATTCTATTGCCTTACTGATGATAATAGAAATTTACAGATGCCAATTTCCCAGAGTCACAGAGTTGACATATCGGTTATACCATGCTAATAAAAACAGGATGATATATAGGATTTGAACAAAATACCATCTACTGGCTGTATTTTAGTTTCTGGTTCTTTATTCCTCCAGTTCATGGATGTGCCCAATCTGTGTTGGCTGTGGTGTATAGAGGAAAAAAAGTATTTTCTTGCCACAGATATCTCATCTTGGTCTTTGGGTTCAACTTTCTTTATGGAGAAAGAAGCTATATCTGTTAAGGAGAGGAGGAATAGTCCAATCTATTGTGACCAGTTTCACTTCAGATATAAATTTTACTAAATGCTGCCAC